TGTTGATCTACCAAGTTTTACTTTAATAAGGTTATAAGTTGATATTCATATGTATTTAATTTTGGTTACTTTTAAAATACCTTAAACAGACATTGATTCTTTTGTTATTTTTGCAGTTAAACAAACATGACTTCCAGGATATCAGGTACGGACAGAGAGATTTTGTGTTATTGTGGACTACCGTCTCCGTTGCTAACGGCACGTAAGGAGCATAGCTTTGGGAGGCAGTTCTATGGTTATGCCAGAGGTGTTTCAGCTCGTTGCGGTTTCTTTAGGTGGGCTGATAGTCCCACATATTACACTGCAGTAATTATGCCAGCAGTCATGTGAATCTGATGTTTTCTCAAGCTGACTGTGCAGTTTAAGACCGACGTAGCCAGAGTCTGAAGTTAAATATTTTAATATTTCTCTTTGTTGTTGTACTTGTATTTGTACTTTTTTTAGTTCTACTGGTACTCGTTAGGATGTGAGAACTGTATGATATCTTTTAGAACTTGTCTGTCATTATCGTATGTTTCTGCAACATATGTTTCTTTTCTACGAATAATCTATTCTAAATAAGCTGCCCCAAACAGTTTTATCACACAGGGGCAGTAATGTCATTTAACCACCAATAAGCTAGTCTGAATAAGCTGGCCCAAACAGCAACCAGATTATTCTGATAATCTAAAGATTATCAGATTATCAGAATAATCTGCTTATCAGCAGATTATAAATAATCTACAGCTGCGCCAAACAGACCCTTAGGGTTTGTAAAGATTAGGAGTATTTTGAATGACTTGGCTCATGAGAAATTTTCCCAAGGGTTCTCTGGTCATAGTAAACCTTCCAAAATTTTCTTGGATTTTTCTAAGCAACATGCTAATTTCCATGATTACTTTAAGCAAATAATGTACATACACTTGAAAAATATGATTCTATGTCTAGGGACCTCCTCTGACTTTGGAAAAATCAGGGAATGTTCCCTAAGACAGAGGCAACAACATGCTAAAATTACAAGCTATAATGAAATGTCTATATGCATGGAGAATTAAAAGATTCAAATCAGTGTTTAATTAATTTAAAATAAAATATGCATCACATGGACTTAAAATTATTTCCACATTATTCTCCTCTGTTCACTGAGCAAGATGCTATTTTTATTTTATTTTTGTGATTTTTCTACACCAGTATATGAATTTTTTAAGTTAGGGGTATTTAAATAAATAGGAAAAATCACTATTTATCTATTTAAACAGCGCGACGACATGTAGATCCTAGGCAGCTCCGAACTCCACGCGGCGCACTCCCATTTGACGTCGCCGTCCACCTCAGCTTTGACTCGTCCCGCTGTTTATGTTCTGAAACGTTGTCCGTCACGATCTCCTCCGTCCATTTGATACACGCTTGATCAAATGGCTCCCCGTCATCGTCCCCGATAGAGTGATCCCGTGACCGTCCACACTAAAACCTTAAGATCTCGACCTAGACTCAACTAAATCACTTCGGGTTTGATCCTATGGACTCGTCTAACTGAGACGAACACATCCATATGGTAATCATGCAATTAAATTAAGCCTAATTAAATGGATAATCAAAATGGGCTTGGGAGGAAGAGAATTTTAATACCTTTGCTCTGAGAAGTGAAGCTTTAATCAAAGGGTCTCGGCACTTTCGTTGTGATCCAAAGAGGCTAGGGATTGAGTCTCTGGCCTTGATGTAAGGCCTAGGTATGATTTCGATCACGGCCATATTTGGATGTTGGTCTAAAGCTATAAGAGCTATTGGTCTAGAGCTATGTTAGGGGCTCTTTCAGAGGGGGATTTTATGGGGCTTTGGCTTCTTTCTCGGTTGTGAAGGTGTGGGCAAAAGTAATTGAAGTTTGCTGGACTGTGGAAGTGTAATGAGCTTTGTCCTGGTTTTTGGCAAAGGTTTGAGCTCAAAATTTCAAAATTGAGCTTCCACATGAGCTTCCACATTGGAATTCAGTGGGGGAAGATGGTTGGATTGCACTGAGGGGATCTCAGAAAAGCTCTGTGAGAAGTTTGGGGCTCTCTCTAAAAAATTTTCAGCACACCTCCCATGGCCATGGAGGTGAGTTTTTATAAAAATGACCATGGGGTGGCTCTAAAGGCAAATGTTTGGGTGCATTGTGGAGCTTAGGTGGAGGGCAGAGGAGCTCTACAATTTGCTTTGGCTGAGCTAGCCTCTAGGTTTGATTTGGGTGAAATTCTATGGTGGTGGCTCTCGGTTTTGAGCTTCTCCGGCGACTAGGTCGGTCCCTAGGTCGGGCGGCCATGGCTGGGGGAGGTGGCTAGGTGCTCAAGGCATCGAGGGGAATCTATCAAAGCAACTTAATGCAATAAGGTATAGTTTTGGTAAGTGTATCTTAAGCATGTGCATTTTTGGAAATAAAATCCCTTAATTTGCTGGACTTTTGGTCCATGGCTTAGTTAAGGTGGTTAGATGGGTTTTGGATCAATCTTAGGGTCTAACTAATGGTTGAGGTGGAGTTAATTTGGTGACTTTGGGGTAGTTAGGTCATCTTTAATGCATAGGTTCAATGTGGGTTCAAGTGATCAAAGTATGGGTTTGGGCTAGGTTAGCCATGTCAATTGACCCAATTGATTGATCAACATTGTGTAGATGATTGTTATGAAGATTTTTGGAGAAGGGTTGAAGTTATTTTGAGTTCAATTGGTAGGTCAATTTGAGGGAATTTTTAAATTTGGTCAATTTGGGCATGTTGGGTTGACATGGGTCTAGGTTGGGCTAGCCTTGGGATAAGTCCAAATTGAATGGTCCACATGATCAAGGGAGATGTTATGAAGATTTTTCTTGAAGGGATAGAGCGGAAATTTTGAGGTTAAGACTCTTAATTTGGTGAGATTTTGAGACATGGCCAATTGGGAGCAAATTTGGGGCTTTTGAACTTAGGTTGAAATCAAAAGAAATTGAGGTTTCACCAAGGCCAATTGAAGGTCAAGTTTGATTTATGGGAATGTTATGAAGGATTTTCGACAAAAATTGTGGCCAATTGAGTGGACTATATGTTCAATTTGGTGGAACCAAGTCAAATGGCCAAAATTGGGTTTTTGGTTTAGCTCAAAATTGGGTCCAAATGATGGACAAATTGAGCTTGGATTTGGTCTAGACTGGTCATATCAGAGGTGAATTTGAGTTTAGAATTGAAATTGGGGTAAATTGAGACCAATTGGCTAGACATTTGAGGTAATTTGGGGAAAATATGGGCCTTTAAATGGCCATTTGGGGGTTTTGATGAAAGATGGTCAAATTGGCCAAATTGGGTCATGTGATAGTTGAGAAAAATGAAATTGGGACTATTTAGAAGGTTTTGGGAATTTTTTAGATTTTTTAGAATTTTTTGAATTTTGGGGTAAGGAGGGGTATTTTGGTAATTTGGCCAATTTGTGGATTTTGGGTAGTTTGGGTGTTTTCAAAGTGTTTGAAATGATTTTTGAACCAAGTAGTGTATTTTGGCTAGATTTGGAAATTTTGGCCAAATTTGGGGTCCCAAAGGTATCTAGGTAATTTGAGGGAATTATGGGCAAAAGGCTAGGTTGGGTGTCGTGGTAGAGTTGAGGTACCAACCACCATCAATAAGCCATGGACCAATGGAAACCCTATTTTGGGTCCTCTATGTAGTGGTCATAGCCAAACCCTAGCCCAGGGCTAATGGGTTTAGGGAACCACCTATAGGTGTCTCCCAAAAGTATCAAGGGACCAAAGCCTAGAAGTTCTGGGTTTAGGGTATTGAGTGATTGTGAGTGCAAGTGATTGCAAGTGAGTGCCTTAGCCCTAGACCAACACCCATGGTCAACCCTAAGGTCTGGCAGTCCTAAGGGTGACTCATCTTGAGTTTCCCCCATAGTGACCCCACCTACTAAGTGCTAGAGGTTAGGATCAATATGTGGAACTCCAAGTTGAGTAGAGAAGAGTGTAGAATTTCTAATGGTGAGGGTTCCAAGTCTAGTTTTCTAAGAATAGTCAGTAGGAAAGTCTTATGGCTAGACCTTAGGCTACTAAAGAGGAAAAACTAAACCTCAACCAAAAGTGAGGTCAACACAGGTAGAAGGCCCGAAAATGAGTTCCTATAGGACCAGACGACCTTAGGTGAACCCTATGTGAATCAGCAACGCACTCACTACACCACGCACGAAGTTGACAAATTTTTGGCCCGATCGTCGTCAAAATTATCTGGACGACCCCGGATGACGAAACGGACTGCGTCGTTTCGTCCGGAATGTTAATTTTAGCCGGTAAGGACACCCACATTGCTAGTGTTACGCGCGCGCACAAAAGACACAAAAATCGATACACATTTTTTTAATTAGCAGGGTGTGGGCCCGGGCTCAACCCAGATTCAACTCGGGTTCAATTTGGGTTGAATTCACGCAAAACAATTTTGAATTTCAAAATTTCAAAATTTAAAATAAATCATTTAGTCTGGCATTAATTAAAAGCTATTAATGGCCAAATAAAACTCCTCCCCCAATGGAAATTCATCAATTACCCCCCCATTATCGCATAACGGACTTTTTGGAATTCCTTGAATACAAGATCCCGCTTAGCTCCTTCCAAGCATTCGGCCTCCCCTTCCCCACAACCAGATTCCGGACTTCTATCTCCCTCACGGGAACTCCTGTGTCGAAGAAAACCCCTCACACCTACTCGTTGCTTCCCGCACCGAAGGCCTTCGCCTACTTTCTTCCTCACACAACCAAACAATCGCGCGATTCGCCATCATCGCTCGCTCGAAACCCTCGACTTCCCTCTACACCGAAAGCCTTTGTAACTTGCACTGAAACACTCGCCTCCATCGCGCTTCTCTTTCGATTCGTGTCTTCCTCTCGCACTGAAACCTCGCCTAGCTTGCTTCTCCCTCCCCGGCTCGACTCTCTTCCTCGCTTGCCCAGAAGGCCTCGCCTCGATCACTTGGCCTGCTCCCTCTATCGCAATCACCCTATCTCGCCTCCCTCATCTTTGCGCAGAAGAAACTCCGCTCGCTTCCTCAATCAGCACCGAAACTCTTGCCTGCTGCTGCGACTCTCCTCGGCACTGAAGCTCACATACATTTCTTTTTCTTTTTCTCCTCCATCGACTCTCCTACCTGTGAGAAAGCCATTGTTATTCCGACCACGAGCTAGTTCGTAGCAGGCATTTTGTTTAACCGATTTCAGGTAATTCAGGAGAACTTCTCTGGTAGTTTAGCCTTATGCGCATGAACCTTTTTGAAGAATATGAGGTTAATATGTGAGGTAGAATGATGGAACAAGGATGTCTGTGTTGTTGTTTCCTGCAGTTTTATGGATGATTTTGGTATTATTTCTAGATTATCTTGCTTAGATTTATTATGGATGATAAATTTTGTCAATCCATTAACTAATTATGTGCAGAGGGGAACGACCATTTGGCAAATATTTAGGGTTGAATTATATCGTGAGTAATGATTTCAACTTAACTCTTTGGTGTATTATCTATAATCGATTAATCTTCGATATTTTCAATTATTTGCCTAACTATTTTGACAGACAAGAAACCTATATCTCTATTTTCCATTTTAGTTATTGATACCAGTTTTATGCACATTGATATGTTAAAGTGTTGGGGCATTTACATACATAGCACACATTTATTATGCATTTACATATCGAACACCTAAACCCTCGTATTTATATACAATGTCATCCAAATCTTGAACACCATATAAAAATGCACTACCATTGTCCATTATTATTGTTGATTTGATTTTTGTTGACATGCTTTCTTGGCCCGATATATGTGGGCTATACAGGCAAATCTTCACTTGATCATTGTTTTTGTTCTTTTTTTTTATCTTGGCCCGATATTATTGTTGATTTGAAGAGGAATTGCACATTGTTTAAAGCTTGAACGAATGTCATTTTGGAAGGGACTAACAGCTTTCTTTGAGCACAAATACGTGCTGATTTGGAGGGTTTATTGAGCTGAGAAAATGATTGGAATTGATGTTTGGAGTTGTTGATCGATGTAGGAAGCTGTAGGAAGAGTTTAAGTTGTTGTTTGGAGTTGTCGATCGCTGTAGGAAGCTGTAGAAAGTGTCCAAGTTGCTATTTGGAGTTGTCGATCATTGTAGAAAGCTGTAGGAAGTCTCTAAGATGTTGTTTGGCGTTGTCAATTGCTAGGGGATGGCGTAGGAAGCGTCAAAGCTGCACTTCTTAGGCCCGTCTAGTGGCTTATGGGATGCACTTCTTGGGTCCGTCTAGCGGCTTACGGATTATGTTTCTTGATTTCATCTCATGGCTTTTGGTTCACAATTTTCTGAGTTTATTTGGTGACTTTTAGACCTTTTTTTTTCTTACTAAATTGGAAGACTTTTGGGCAAATCAAAACACCGTCTTGGAACAAACTTAAGCACTCTTCTCGAAAATCTATTTAATTACAGTCGTTGAAAGAATTGAAGCGCTTTTATGATCGATTCACTTTCTGCTTCCCCCCTTTTCGGTTTGTTGGTTTTAGGGTTGGATGTGGGTCAACCCTCCCTTTTTTTTTTTTTTTTTTTTTTTTTTTGCTTCTTTGGCCAATGGTTAAGTCGAAAAGTGGGAGTTTCTGTTTTAATTATTTGGAAGACACTTAGAAATTTGAGGATTCGTTGGAAAAACACTTAATTCGGCGTATAACACTGAGTATAACACTTTAAATCACTTTAAGCACAAGTTAAAGTATAGGCTTCCTAGATTTTAGGAGCACACCCTAGGTGAGAGTCCATCCACCTAATTCTCAGCACAGGCTTATTTTAGGAGCATACCCTAAGTTAGAGTCCATCCACCTAATTCTCAGCATAGGCTTCCTAGTTCCTAGATTTTAGGACTAGATTTTAGGAGCACACCCTAGGTGATAGTCCATCCACCTATTTTTCAGTGTAGGCTTCCTAGATTTTAGGAGCACACCCTAGGTGAGCGTTCATCCACCTAATTTTCAAATAAATAATGAAACTTGGCACGTGACCCTAATTCACAAACTAATGAAGACACTAGGCATAAGGATGCATTGATTTACAAACTGATTAAGACACTAGACATAAGGATGCACCGAGGCGTAGTTCATGCTTACTTAATTAAATCAACAGTAAAATTCTCGCAATGACTTAACCTACATTGAAACTCAATGCACTGGGATTTGAGCTTGGATATTACACTCAAATCCTTTTGGCAATTAGGGAAATTTGTTAACGCCACATATGGATCATCGAACTAGGATAAGTTCAGGGTCTAGGTGGCGAGGGCAATGATGACATCGCTTATGTGTGTTAAATGAGGGATATAAACTGGAATTATTAGAATAGTATCTCCTACCTCAAGGATCTTCAATAAGAAAGAGGAAAGGATCAATGATACTATTCGCCGATTTTTTGTGGGATTGTTGCCCCCGACGCGCTCTTAAGTTGTCAGTAGTTCTAGCACGATTAGACGACTTTACAACATATATACAAAATAAAACAAAAATCTCTTGCCCCCGACGCTCGTGGCCTGTGGATTACACGACTTTACAAAATATTTACAAAAATAAAACAAAAATCTCTTTTGAATGTTAAAAAGAACTCTGCATAAAAAAAGACGTAAACAACAGCTTTTGTATGAAAATCAAAGAATTTTTCTATGAAAATTTATAAAGGTCCATGGCTAATCATTCGATTGAGGTTAAGAACTGTCTTCTGTGGATTGTCCGGCTGGTAACTCTTGTTCAAGATCGAGAAGTTACTAATGTCTTACACCCAGTCCTGGTCTTTCATATGTGGCTAAGTGTTTCGTTTGCTTGTGATTTCTACGACTCGTTTTTCTGAATTTCGTGCTAGATATTCTTGCCTTGTTTAATTTTCTTGCAAGTTTATTTAAATCTGCTGCAAATCATACTATGCTCGCAACAGTAACAGATGCCCAAGTACGCTTCTACAGTTTAACTACAGCATTTTACTCTACTACATATTACCTTTCAAGTACCTTTTATTTACCTATAATTTGCTTACTCTGCATGCAAAACCAGAACTGAAACAAAAAACAAAACAAAACAAAAACAAATATTGACACCAAAACTGTGAAGCATAAACCACCAATCTCAAATACTTAAACCTTGGAGCTATCGCAACGGCAGAAGGTTCAGAGCTAAATTCGGGGGCAGCATGACGAGGAACACAGACAGAGCAGCAAGAGGATCTTTTTCAGCAATCTCTTTCCTTAGTCTAATTAACAACCCTTAGGACTTCGAGGTAGCTCGCCCAGCGCAACATAAATCCTCACATCTTCTTTAGGTTCTGTACAACCATGTTGTGCAGCGTAAGTCCTAACTCTTCTTAGGTTCCGAAGTTGTCGTGTGGCGCGACGTAAACACTCTTATATCTGCGGACTATTTGCATAACCAGTTATTATGCAAGTGAAAGTCTCAAATAATAAAATTGACAGGATTAAACATTCAAATAACATCCTCTCTAAAACTAAAATCTAAAACATAGTCGTACAGTAGAATAGTTTGGGAAGTCACTGAGGTTCCTCCTCAAGATCTGTGACGCCCCCTACACTTTACTTCCATTGGACTCTTGAAGTAATTGTTCCTACTTGAGCCACTCCCACTTGTTTTTCCACGTCCTACCGTGAATACTTAAACCTTGAATTCTTGGAGACTAGAATCACTGATCATTATCAAGAGTTTTCTCAAGTGACTCTCGTCATTTGAGATGTAATTAACTATATAGGTTTGCCTTTATAGGGAACTTGAAACCCAAGCAAAATAAACCCTATTTAATCTTTGTATTAGATAGGGGAACTTGTCAGTCATACATAAAAGGATCGCAGACCAAATGGATGTCACAAATCTCTTAGTTTGTAGGATTGAGTCTATTGCCGAGGTATACACTCATCTTTCGGGGGAATGTAATATTTGCGGTATCAAGCACGATTATGCAAGCTATTGGACGAATGAGATCTATTTGGTTTCATTTCTTTTCAAAAATTAAAACACGTTACTTTCAAAACCTAAACTATATACCTCTTATATTTAAATAAAATTTCAAAATTACTTTCATATTCATATTTTTAAATTTCCAAAAAGTTGACTGACACAGTGGTAGGTACGTAAATGCCCCTTATTTAATCATCAATTCAAACTTTTGACCACTCATTTGTGGTCAATGCTCGGTACATTTTACATTATTTTTTTTATTTTTCTTTTCTTCCCACATTTAACATCATTCTTTCACAATGTCATTAAGTAAACTCCTCTTAAAAAAAAAAAAAACAAAACCTTTGTTATACTTATTGGAATAAAACATAAAACGAAAATTTTTTATGCCCACCAAGCTCTCATCTATTAACTCATTATTTTATGCAAATTTATGAAATAAACAAGGGAGATTTGCATACATACAACTCAATTGTAGTTATTTAAATAAAAATTATTTTTAAAAAATAATCAAGTGATTCCTTTTAATGGGCTTATTTTCACTAATCGAACCTCTACTCAAAAGGTAAGAGATCAATAGCTTGTTGGCAGATTGTTGGAGAAAGCCGAGATTTACGGCTTGCTGTTTCGAATCACAACATAAATTTACACTTAGTTAAAAAGAGATCAATTATTAGAAATTAGTTTGTTTTACTTGACCATACTTATCAAGACTAGACTTCATAAATGCATCATTTGGGGTAGCCCAAAAAAATCAAAAAATCAAAAAAGAAAATAAGTTCCATTTTCATTTTTTTTATCCATTCATCTATTTTGATGGAAGTTGTTGAACAGCTGAATAAAAAGTAAAGCTGAGATCAAATTCTCATCACGAAGTCACTAAAAATCAAAGGAGGTATGAGGAAACGTGTGTTCCTCCCAGTACTGCAATAACGAGCAACGCAACATCTGAATCTATTAATCTGTAAACATAATTGGGACGTAGCATTTTAATACAAACTAAGATTATGAGCCAAGCATGAATATAGCTGTAGTATTTGATAAGTATGGTGCTAATATTGCCCAAAAAAAAAAAAACAGCAGTAAGCTCTTATATCAATTATAGCTTTCATTCTTGTCCGTATCATATCAATTATAGCTACAGCAGGTTTTATAATTTTTGGTAGCCTAGTGTTAGTATAGTGCAATGGTACCTTGACGGTAGGATTAGAGAGGGAAGTTATTGAGCTACGATTGTGATGAAGTCTAGTCTTGAATCCATATTTGTTTGTGGATTATGCCCAACGCAATAGCATTGAGAAAAGAAAAACATGGGGGAAAAGATTATTAAAAGCAGCGGACAAATGCATTAAGTAGCTCAATAGTAATAAAAAATACATAAAAATACATATAAGCGCATAGTGTCATTATGTTTCCAGTAGTACTAGGGTCATGTCACATCCTATAGTTGTACGGAAGTCAAGTTGAATGCCAAATTGTGAGTGGTTATGTTACCAACTTTGTTGTTCGTTATGCTGGAGCTAAAAACTTGGCACTCGAAACCATCACTTGGAACTTGGCACTCGAAACTCGACATTTGATACACATCACTCGAAATTTGGCACTCAAAACTTGGCACTAAATACTTGACAATTGTTTCGCTCGACAACTAGCCAACTTGCCAGCTTGCAAACTCAAATATTTGGTAAACTTATCATCTAGTCAACTCGGTGGTCTACCTCAGAGGTGTACATTTAATTTATTGTCTCTCTTTTAACTTTGGAAGTAGTAGCTAAATACATGAAATCTAATTTTAGTAGTAGTAGTTCTAGTGACAGAAATATAACTATAGGTGATTAAATTATTAAAAGATGAGAAAGTTTTAGATATCTCGTGTCTATTATTTAAAGTGATGGTGATACTAATGGGGATGTTATCAATAGAATTCAAATTGGTTGATTGAATTGGAGGAGTGCTTCGTGCCTATTGCGTGATAGAAAAAGTACCGCTTAGACTGAAAGGAAAATTTTATAAGATGGTGGTGAGACCTGCAAAGCTATATGGCGATGAATGTTGGCCTTCAAAAGAGAAGCATAAAAAAAAGTTAAGTGTTGTCGAGAAGAGAATGATCAGGTGGATGAGTGGCTTTACACTTAGAGACAAAATGTGAAATGAAATAGATGTCTTAGATTCAACTTATGTTAACAAAGGCAGAGGTAGACCTAGGATTTCTTGGGCATATTGTATAAAAAACAATCTTAAGTTATTAGAATTAGATGAAAATTGTGCGCAGGCACTTTGAATGTTGATTCTCTAAGAAGCCTTGGACGCAAGTTCAAACGAATATTTTATCCAGATTTTTTTGACGCAATAGAATATCAGCTCATACATCTGTGTTATGAGGCTATATTGGGGGTTCAGTGCAATATAAATGGATGTATCCTATTGAGAGGTATGTCTTTAATTTTAGAGCAAACTACTATCTTATTTTTTCTAAAATGACTCAACCGTGCAAATTTTTTAATAAAATTAAAAGACTACTAAGAATAAAGCAAGTCATGAGGGATCAATATGCGATGCATGCCTATTACAAGAAACACTCAATTTATCTTTTATTACTTCGATTAAGGGCAACATACGCATGACACTATTAGTGAGATGCCTTCGCAAGCATAAATACCTGTATTCCAGATATCAGGTGAACCATTGGGTAGGCATGGTACGCGCTACCTCAACGATAAAGAGCTCTAAGCAGCTAAATTGTATATTCTACTGAACTGTAATGTAGTGCAATCATTCTTACAGTAAGATTAAATTTAATCAAAAATTTTCTAAGTTATTATCCAGAATGCTATACCAATTAACTCAGACAAACAAATCACAATGATATCTGCAGGTTATTTACTGAGAGCCTAAACAAAGGGGATGACTTTCTTATAAGCAAAAAGATCAAAGAAGTATGTCTAGTTTTCGTATTCAGCTTAGCTCAATCGATGAGGAGTTTCCCCTTGAGGATACCACAAGTCTTCATGAAGAATTCCCTCTAGATATGGATGAAAATAATGATAAGATTGACGAAAAAATTTTAAGTTCAACATCTGGCTTATCGAATGAAACATACTAAAAAAAATGAAATGTATATCTACAATGATTAGTTTCTGCATCTTTTTTTTAATTTCGTTTCTTGCACTATAGTTGCCTTGTTTGATTTTCTTAATTTTATGCGTAGTTACGACATATTTCATGTTGACATTCTACACCGTTCTGCTTTTAGTTTTCTGTCTTATGTTACATACTAATCCTACTTACTAATTCTAATTTTTCTTTTCATTGCAGATAGCAGACCCCGCGTTCAGGGGACTCTATTGAACACATCGAAGGTTAAAGAGAATGTCTCTCGCGCTGAGAGGCACGACACTACTGCAACCACTTCGAACACCCCTCTTGTTGTCCCTCCTCCCATACGAGCTCCCTCAGAGGCACAAACTCTCCCACCTGCACCATTTTTCCGTCCAAATTCCTCATCTAATGAGCAAAGCCATCCGACTCCTACACCTGATATGGTTTACTCTGCCGACACAGTCTAAATTGTGTAGAGGGTGACTCATAAGTCAACATTCCTTTTTACTGTGCATTAATTTCAATTTCATTCCACTTGTTATTGTAACTAATATTTCAATTACAAGTTCTACACTTACTAGTCGCCCTTGAAGCGGAACATGGAGATCATTCGGAGTCGGTGTGATATGTCATTTGTCTCATGGAAATAGATCCCGATAGCAACTCGGGACATGTGGTTTAGGGAGTTCGAGGTATGATATTTTAATTTGAAATAAAATGCTAATTTCTATTTTTTATACTAATCAAACTTACATAATTTTTAATTTACAGAGGTAATTTTACTAATTGTCAGAAAAACAACAGATCCGGCAGATTTTTTAGATTAGTGGCAGACATTGGCTCGAGGATATGTTCATTACAGCGTCTGGGCTGATTTAAAAAGAGCATGGGCCTCCACGGAATACCAGGGGAAAAGATAGACAAACAAGTAGGACCGAATGACCGAAGGAGCCATAGGGGTCGCACTCCACATTGGAGGTTCGATCCTACACACAGAGCGCTACCAAAAACTGGTAAGAAAAACTCAAATTTCATTAGTTTACAAAGTTATGTAATTATGTTACTTATATTTATCTAAACATATATACAGGTCAAGGAGCTTAACCAAGAGCCATCAACTGTAGAGTTGCATGTCCTAACGCATCGGCACCCAAGCACACAACAGCGGGCAATCGATCACTCTCAGCATGTCAATGTAAGCTAAAGAATGTAATTTTCTATTTTTAGGGGGCTACTAATATGCCAATTAATATTTCAATTTTGTTGTAAAAGAGAAGTACGAACAACTCCGAAAGAGACTAACCAGACCTCGTCGTCTTCCAGCAGCAGTAGTAGCTAGTCTACCACTGCTCAGTCCGATTTTAAGTTGTGAATGTCGGCGACGTGAAAGAATGATAGGACAGTGTATGGCCTAGGAGCAAAAGGAATAGCATTTGAGCTCGAGCGCTCTCTTGCAGCTGTGGGTGGCCCAAGCTCGTTACAGACTCAGTATAATGAGCTTGTCAAGCGGGGGTCATGATGATGAATGAAGAGCTACGACAGGGGCATGAAGGTCAGTAGATGGCTGTAAATAGTATAGCATGTCTGACGGAGAGTTTTGATCGTCGAAGCAAGCGACATATGAGTGTTGTTTAGGAGGATGAGGGTGGTCACGAGGAGGATGAGGAGGGTTAGGAGGATGAGGAGGGTCAGGAGGAGGATGAGGAAGATGAGGATTTTTATTACGTTCTTGTTGGTGTTCCTCCATCATAGGGGCTGAATATATGTTTTTTTCATTTATGATTAACTGTACTTTCAATTTATGTAGTTGTTAACTGTGAACTTGGAACAATTTCATATTTCTATCTTATATTTAATTTGTTATTATTATTTAGATGTTGTGGTAGTGATTTCTTTTATCAGTTCTGATGATAAATAAATGTCATATTATGTTTGTGTTAGTTCTGTGCAGGCATATGAAAAGTAGTACCTTCTGTTGTATTTTTTTTTTCTGGCAGGTTTACATCAGAATTGCGTCGAACTATTCTGACGCTAATAGCTACAATAATTTACTCGATATTCGGCAACGCTACCTCGATGATAGCACAAATCAACATCAGGATATTGTCGACGATAAGTAGCGTCAGACGTGCCCAATGTTGACGCTAATTTGTGTCGGATGGGTTCGACGCTATTGCATCACTAATACAACGTCGACCATATTTTCGAAGAAAATTCACAACGAAGGAATGTGGAGACGCTAATTCTTACGTAAATAAAACTAACGTTAATTTCGGCGCACAATGAATTAGCGAGACCCAATTTAGCATCACAATTAATCCGATGCTAATTTAGAATAGCATCGGAAAAATGCCTGATTAGTGTCAAAAATGTCTGACACTAATCCGGCAATTTCCTGTAGTGATAAAAAAATAAATTAAAAGTTAGCACACATCGTTAATGTCGTACGAGGATAAAATGGCTTCAAAGAAAGCCATATGTTTTAATGGATCAATTCTCACCCGATACGAATCCAAAGATGAAATCTTGAACTTTTCTAGCCTCTTTAAATCCACAACTTCATTGGAGAGCTTTTTTCCAATTGTGGTCTCCTCTTAATTCACCTCTCCTTTCTTCCCTGCAAGAGGATGTAGAGGCATCGCTATCAGGAAAGCAGGTTTTGTCGTCAACTTCATCTATAGGGGTTGATAGTAGCGCTCACGGGGCTTCTTGTTGTCTCCTCCTTCGTACAAAATCAAAGGTCACAATTGATAGGTCTACACGAGGGAACACTCTATGGATGTGCTCTATTGCCTCCTTGATCATCCTTGCCATCTTGCTGTCGAAGTTTGACCACTCCTTCGATATAAATTCGCTTGTATCATTCATATTTGCTAGTCTTTGTGTCGCTAGTTAACATCTTGAAGTGTTTTTCCATGTATTTTCTCACATGATCACACTCACCGTGCCTTTCAGGATGTTACATCCGAGTTTATTCAAGGATTATGCTTAAATCTTACTTGCATTAGAACAAAGAAAGACATTGGAAGACATTGAAGGCAAAGAAAAAAAAAATCCATTAGGAATCATAGAAGATTCCATTTGCTCTTTCCTTTTTCTTAGCTTTCTAAACTATATTTATAAATCTTAGGGTCTCATTGGCCTTTGTACACAATTAACTAGAATTTAATAATAAAAAATAAATAAAACTAAACAAAAGTACATTATAAGAGGGCTTTGGTGTCTCATGTACCTATCCGACATGTCAAGCTAAATGTCGAATTGTGAGTTGGTATGTTGTCGGCCTAATTGTTAGTTATGTCTGAGTTGAAGCTCAACACTTATTAATCGACAACTAGTTGAGAAAACATTCTTGAGATTTGCACTATGGCCTCCTTGATCATCCTAGTCATCATGCTTTTGAAGTATGCTAACTGCTTCAATAAGATTGTATTTTCCATGTTACTGATCTCTCTGTCACTATGGTCAACATCTCGAAATGCTCTCTATCTAGTATGTGACAAATCCATGCTCACCATAAATTTCAAGGCAGTGGAACTTGATATGTCCATAAATTTTGTCCAAATTTTACTAGCAACAACAACAACAGCAAAGCCTTAATCCCACAACTTGGGGTTGGCTACATGAATCCTTTTTCTCCATTGCGTCCTATTTAGTGACACATTTTCATTTAGTTCTAGTAAATTAAGATCATTTTTTATACAATAAGCCCAATCATCCTAGGTTTACTTATGTCTTTCTTAACTTAAGTCGAATCTAAAACATCTACTCTCCTAATCCGATCATCAGATGATCGACGTTTAATGTGACCAAACCATCTAAGACGGCTTTCTCTAATTTTGTTCGTCACAGGAGCTACACCAGCCTTATCACGTATATATTCATTTCGCATTTTGTCTCTAAGTGTAAAGCCACTCATCCACCTAATCATTCTCATCTAGGCAACACTTAACTTATTATTATGCTTATCTTTTAAAGGCCAACATTCAGCACCATAAAGCATTGCAGGTCTCACCACCGTCTTATAAAATTTTCCTTTCAGTCTAAGCGGTACTTTTCTATCACGCAAAAGGACCGAAGCATTCCTCCACTTCAACCAACCAACTTGAATTATACAATTAACATCTCCATCTATATCACCATCGCTTTGAACAACAGAACCAATATCTAAATCATTCACACCTTTTAATAATTTGATCACCAAAAGTCACATTTTTGTCCCTAGAGCTACTACTACTAAAATTATATTCCATGTATTCAGTTTTAGTTCTACTTAAATGAAGGCCTTTAGACTCTAATGTAGACCTCAATAATTCATGTTTTTCCTGGACTTTTTCTCTCGTCTTATCCACGAGAAGGATATCATCAGCAAAAAGCATACACCAAGGCTAAATTTTACTAGCATGGAGAAAAAAAAGAACTGCATGGGAAGAGATTTAAGGTAGAGAAGAAAAAATGCATTAGATATCTTAGAATATAATATTTGCTCTCTCCCTTTTATAAACTCTTTGACCCCTATTTAAAGATTTTGGGGTATCTTTTACTATTTCATATAATTAAATAGAATTTAATAATAAAAAGTACATAAAAGTAAGTAGAAATACATGGGAGCTAGCACATGCCGCCTTCTATAGCTCGTGGAATACCAAGTTGAATATCGAATTGTGAATTGCCATATAGCCAACATAGTTGTTAGTGATGGTTATGGGTGTACATTTGCTTAGTTTGGACGATTTGGAGGGCAGTTTTGTGAAACCATTTGGTTTTAAATGTCTAAAAATATGGATTAAAATGAACAAACAAAATGTAGAACTAAATGAAACCAAACAAGAATTTGGTTCACTCATATCGATTCGATTTTAAACAAAAGTATCATATAGTTAGAATATGTTTGTGCATGTCATATTTATTATACATTTATTTATTATATAGTTGATAAGCAATAAACATGATTATAAATATATAATTAGAAATGTAATTTGTTATTTTCATGATAATTCGAATGGAGAAGACAAATAATATAAAAAATGTGAATTGCAAAAAGAGCTTTAATTTACTAGTTTTTAATCAGTTATTTTTATTTTATATAAAATTATGATTCTCAAAACAATCTAAAAAACCAAAATTCAAATATTTCACTAATAAAACGAAACCAAATCATCCAAAAAAAAATTTAGTTTGCTTGGTTTTTTGGTTATAACCAAATAATGCACACCCCTAGTTATGCCCCAATTGAAACTCAACACTTGGTACTAGGCAATTAAACTCGACACTCGTAACTAGGTATCTAGTGTTTGGCACTTGAAACATGGCATTTGACACTCAACAACTGGTCAACTTGACACTGGCTAGCTCGAAACCTAGCAAATTTAGCACTTAGTCAACTTGGTCTTTGGTGAACTCAGTATTCATGGGTGTAAATCTGATGCAAGAGGTGATTGTATGGTCTTATAAAGGAGGGTCTAAAGTGTGGTGTTATAAGTGCCCCTCGAATTGATGATCTTAATGATAGTAGCAATTTGTCTAGCAATTGAGTAAACCATGCGATTGAATGAGCTTTGGTGAAGATGTACGCAAACTAGTTCTAAGTAATGACATGTGAAATAGAGATCTCTTGTGTCTTAAATGCAATTGTAGATGAAATGATAATCTACTTTGATGTTTTTGGCGAATGCATAAAATATTGAATTCTTATTAAAAACTAGTGCAAAGGTATTATCTCAATAGAGTGGTATTAGGGAGGTTGAAGGAACTTATAATTTTTTTAGTAGGGGAAGAAGTAAGATAATGAAAATAAGAGTTGTGGCGAGTGCAAGATACCCAGCATCCATGGATGAGCATGCTATGATGTTCTATTTCTTAAGACACAAAGGGATGAAAGTTGACCTATCGAATGCACAGTGGCTTTTGTCATATTTTGGTTTTGGTGATCAGCATCCCAGTCCAGGTTCAAGTAGATCGCGAGATGAAGATGTCCATGTAAATGGGAATGCCATAACAAGAAGTGCTTTTGAGGTATACGAAAAAGAGTTTTAGAGATTGGAAATGAATTTTGAGTGCCTTGACACAAGCAGTTGACATTAAATATCTTGGAGAATGTGATGGTGAGACATAAGAGAGGTGATTAGGTGGCTATGTCATGAGATTTTGCTAAGTTGACCAGAGCAGGACCTTGGTAGTAAAGGGCTTAGAATTGATTTGGAAATACTTATGTTAGATTTTTATAGGAAGTTTAGAGTTTATTAGTAATGACTTGAGTGAATTGCATGAGAGGAATACTTAAAATAAAAACATAAAAAATAAAAATAAAAAAATGAATTCTATAAGAGGTAGGATTGGCATGAAAGAAGCTTGAAATATCACAAAGATTGTGCATGTGAAAGCATCTGCGAAGGTTTTGGAGAAGACCTAAGGTAGTCGTTGAATAGTTTCTGGTGAATAAAATATGATCAATATAGATAAAAAGTATAAGCGGAAGGATTTGTAGAAACAACAGATAATGTTTTGAAACCAAGTTATTGTAAATGACCTAAATAAGTGGCAAGGCACTAGAACAAGTCTTGCTTAAAGCCATAGAGATCTTTCTTGAGAAGCTAACAAAGTTTGAGTACTAGAAATCTTTGAATCCTTGGGGTTGAATGATGTATAATTTATTCTTTAAATTGTCATGAAAAAGTAGCTTTGGAAATATTTATTTGATTGATTAGGCAGTTGTGCATTAGCGCACCTGTGAAAAGGGTGGGAATTATTGAATCACAATTTGTTCAGGGGTTACGACAAAATCTTATTAATTCAAAGGAATTGAGGAATAAAAGATGAGGCAAAGAAAGCATATCCATGAAAATCAAGCTTAGGATTCCACAACAACAAAGTAAGGAGGGGGGGTGTGGGATTTGGGGAAAGAAAAAGAGATTGAACCCTTGGCTCTTCATATGATCTCTATTATATGGAAAGATTTTGGCTCTTAAGAGCTACATGGAAGGCCACAGAATTAGTAATTCATTTACAAAAAGTATAAAAAAAATATAAAAAATTAGTTTCTTTGGTATAGACTCAGACTGATTAGCCAACTTAATAGAGAAGTCCCTGGTCCCTGAGCAGAGCAAATTGCATATTTAGTTATAAACGACCAATGTAACATAGTCGGTTTATAGAGACTAGTACAAGCGAAGATGGTGTCATCCTCGATCCTTAACAGATGCTTCTTTTTGATAGGTGTGCAAGTCCACCTTACTATTAATGGGTAAACATCTTAAGCCTTATT